CAATAGGGTGCACTCCTATATAAACCTTAATTTCATAGTTAGTTATAGTGGCTTTGGCATACAAGCAATTACTAGTACTAATGCTTTATTTCTGTCCCAATAGAGTTGCATAATGAGCTATTGGCGACAGTCTGGGAAAACAAGCCTAGGGATGATCCGAAGACCTAAACAATTAGTAATAACGACATATAAATATAAGATCAATCTTCACAAACCATTAATTTATTACTAGTCTATCTTTAGAACATTTTCAAAAAGAAAATTCAACTAAAAAAATTTAAACATCGATCAAATCATTACATGTTTTAACACACCATGAAGGGCGTTCAAAATACTCAATAATTAAGAGCATATAAAACAATACTTGACAAAAATAAAACCTTCACGAACGCATAAACAAATTTAAAAAATATCGTCAACTTTAAAAGAACAATTTAAAAGAAAAAGAACTTGAAACTAATAAAACCATTTTATATTATCGAAACATACATTATTAAAGAAAAAAAAAATCTAAAATTTCATTTGGTGTGACAAAAAAATATATTCGCGAACGCATCCACAAACTAAAAAATATCGTGAACTCTTCAAAAGAACAGTTTTCAAAAGCGAATTCCAAGGACATGATACTTTTATTTATCGCTGAAATGATTGGAATAAATATTTCTCTTGAAAGGGATACAAAGAAATCGAATTTAGCTTTCGGAACCTGCGTCAACAGAAAGAGAAATGTTGTTATGACAGTGTGTTCCGTAGATTTTACAAGAAAAGCTTGCACAAGACACAAACTTCAACAGTAAACAAAGTAGAAGGAGGGGGGAAATGTAGAACGGGACTTCATTTCGACCTCGTTATGCAAGGATTTGGAATCATTTGCGTCGCTGAAAACTGTGTCAGTTGAAGAGGACGAAAGGAGTATTGGCAAATGTTTCATCACGGAATAGAGTGCGGTTACGCGAAAAGTGCACGGAAAAAAAAATCGACATGTCCTTTCTTATGCGTATAACAATAATACTATGCA